CCCCTCTCCTTCTCTCTCTCTCAAATAAGTAAAATCTTAAAAAAAAAAAATACCTTGGGGCGCCTGGGTGGCTCAGTCGTTAAGCATCTGCCTTCGGCTCAGGTCATGATCCCAGGGTCCTGGCAGAGAGCCCCACATCGGGCTCTCTGCTAAGCGGGGAGCCTGCTTCTCCCTCTCCCACTCCCCCTGCTTGTGTTCCCTCTCTTGCTGTGTTTCTCTCTGTCAAATAAATAAATAAAATCTTTAAAAAAAAATACCTTACACTTTGTGCTGCAAGTGGTCTACAAAGGTGTTGGAATTCAGACACAGCTGATGACGGTGCAGGTACTCTGGTTTGCATTCCTTCACTAAAGGGCACGGGCTGGTGGTGTTTCCTGCTCATGTGATTCTAGGGTAGAGTCTAGCAAGTGATTCCTTGGTGGTCCCAGAATAATTTGTTTGGTAATCTTGCCTCAGATGGTTTGGAAATGATCCCTTCTTATTTTCTTTCTCCTCTCAAATTTGGAAATCCATTCTTTTTTTTACATATATATCCAGGAGTTCTTGGATTATAGTCTTCAGGAGATAGAAGCTATTGACATCCACATGCCTAGCTGTAGGTTCTTCCCAGGGAGAAGTCTCTGATGGATGAAGTAAACAGGCAGACCTGTGAGGCAGAACAAAGCCACAACTTCATTCACCATTTGACCTCCTTATGCCCCTACTCTGATCAGTATAATACAATGACGGTTTGGGTCTCCTGAAATTAGTATCCATTCAGAGCTACTGCCCAGCAACTCCTCCAAAGTCTTATTATTTCTCTTTCCTCAATGCATAGTCATCCATGTTAATGGTCATAGATCTTTTTAGGGAAGAGTGGGGAAAAGATGAGCTATATAATTTTTTTTCTGTTTAAAAGAGTTCTTTCTCAAAGACTTGCCCCCCACTTGGAATTAAAGATATTCTGGGTCTGTAAAATGGCTCAAGTCAGAAAATTAACTGAAGGAACATGATCTCTTATGTATAGAATTCAGGTTAGACTTCTATTCACTTAACCTAGAACCCATCTATTTAAGGGAGGGAATTACAGTTGCTTCAAGCAAAGCAAGGTTAACCTCCTCAGATGGGGGTGGAAGGGCTACATTTACTGGCAAAAAAGACTCAATAAAATTTAGGGTTCCATGTCCCTAGCTTGATTAGAATCTTCCTATATATCCCCATTCCAGTGCTCAAGATCTCAATCCTTCCCAATTGGTGCCCTCACTTTAACAGAAGACATTTTGCAATGTTGAAAATCCAGAACTTCCCTGTCTTCAGTCCCTCACAATGCTGCTAACAGTAGTTTCATCTTTAGGGCAAATTCCCTGAAAAATGTCCAGCTATGTCTAGGAACTTTCTAGCTTGTCTCTGACAATTTTATCTGATAACAAAAACAAGCAGTTCAGACTCTCTCCAGCAGACGGAGCCATTAAACAAACGTGTTCTTAGGAAGACCTCATTAGAAAACTGCCGCATTTCTTGTGGTGTTCTGAGATATTGACAGCAGCTGTTAACATCAGTAACTGACTTACTGCAGTTTACTGATAAGAAAGGAAAAAGAAAAAAGGTGCAATTAGTAGACACCATACAAAAAACATAGGGAATGAAAGAAAACCCTGACCACAGCAGAGGCAAATTGATATGGAGGCGAGAGCATACAAGTAGGAGCTGACCTGTCTTCAGAGCTTAGTGACACCTTGTGGTCTCTGGTGATTCTCAGGAATCACAGGAGGGAAGTATGCGTGCAATTCCTAGGGAATGAGGGTGGGACGCATTGAAAGGAAATTTTAAGGTCCCTGCAGCCAAGCAAGCTGTCTACCGATGTCTCTGGAACAAAACCTGTACCTAGAAACTAAAAGCTGAGCTATATGAAGATTCACAATGAATCATCAGATCACTGTTCATCTCCACAATGCATTTGATTCCTTGTACAACCCAATCAAATAGTTAAATTAGCCTTAATTTTTTTTGGGGGGGGGAGCATAGAAACATATAAGCAAATCACTATTAACACATCTCATTTTTTCAGTTTCCATTAACCAGAGAATCATAGCACCCCACTCTAAATACAGAAGTGAACCATAAAACTGACACAGACTGTCTGATAAGAACGGTGGCAGCAGAACCACGACAGTAAATCTGAAATATACCATTTGGGGGAATAAGGAAGAAAAATCAGGGCACTACAAGATTAACATGAATACTAAAAATCGGATGCTTCTGTGGAAAAAAAAATTGACTACAGAGATATGAGTTAAAATTAATTTCATCAGGATGCTTAGAAGAGTTGAAATGAACAGGATCTCTGATGTAAATTGAACAAATGCAAAATAATCCCAAATTTGCTTTAAACAGCTCACTCTCTTTGGTCCCCTACTTGAATGCTAAAAAGTCTCCACTTAAACAGTAGGTACTACTTGTTGAACATAGTTCTAAGGTGCTTTAAAAATTTTTAATATATTTGAACCTCATCAAAAATCTGCTAGGTAGGGGCACATGTGTCGCTCTGTCGATTAAGTATCCAACTCTTGATTTCAGCTCAGGTCATAATCTCAGGGTGGTGAGATTGAGCCCCGTATTGGGCTCCACACTCAGAGCGGAGTCTGCTTAAGATACTCTCTCCCTCCCATCTATGAAAAACCCACAGTGAATATCATTCTCTCTTTTTTTTTTTCAAGATTTTATTTATTTATTTGACAGAAACAGAGACAGCGAGAGCAGGAACACAAGCAGGGGGAGTGGGAGAGGGAGAAGCAGGCCTCCCGCCGAGCAGGGAGCCTGATGTGGGACTCGATCCCAGGACCCCGGGATCATGACCTGAGCCGAAGGCAGTCGCTTAACCAACTGAGCCACCCAGGCGCCCCAGTGAATATCATTCTCAATGGGGAAAAACTGAGAGCATTTCCCCCTAAGGTCAGGAACATTGCAGGGATGTCCACTATCACCACTGCTATTCAACATAGTATTAGAATCCTAGCCACAGCAATCAGACAACAAAAAGAAATAAAAGACATCCAAATGGGCAAAGAAGAAGTCAAACTCTCACTCTTTGCAGATGATATGATATTTTATGTGGAAAACCTTAAAGACTCCACCCCAAAACTGCTAGAACTCATACAGGAATTCAGTAAAGCGGCAGGATATAAAATCAATGCACAGAAATCAGTGGCATTCCTATACACCAACAACAAGACAGAGGAAGGAGAAATTAAAGAGTCGACCCCATTTGCAACTGCACCCAAAACCATAAGATACCTAGGAATAAATCTAACCAAAGAGACAAAGGATCTGTACTCAGAAAACTATAAAATACTCACGAAAGAAATTGAGGAAGGTACAAAGAAGTGGAAAAAGCGTTCCATGCTCATGGATTGGAAGAACAAATATTGTGAAGATGTCAATGCTACCTAGAGCAATCTACACATTCAATGCAATCCCCATCAAAATACCATCCACTTTTTTCAAAGAAATGGAACAAATAATCCTAAAATTTATACGGAACCAGAAAAGACCCTGAATAACCAGAGGAATGTTGAAAAAGAAAAGCAGAGCTGGTGGCATCACAAATCTGGACTTCCAGCTCTATTACAAAGCTGTCATCATCAAGATAGTATGGTACTGGCACGAAAACAGACACATAGATCAATGGAACAGAATAGAGAGCCCAGAAATGGACCCTCAACTCTATGGTCAGCTAATCTTCGACAAAGCAGGAAAGAATGTCCAATGGGAAAAAGACCGTCTCTTCAACAAATGGTGTTGGGAAAATTGGACAGCCACATGCAGAAGAATGAAACTGGACCATTTCCTTACACCACACAAAAATAGACTCAAATGGTTGAAAGACGTAAATGTGAGACAGGAGTCCATCAAAATCCTAAAGGAGAACATAGGCAGCAACCTCTTTGCCCTCAGCCACAGCAACTTCCTCCTAGAAACATCACCAAAGGCAAGGGAAGCAAGGGCAAAAATGAACTATTGGGACTTCATCAAGATAAAAACTTTTGCACAGCAAAAGAAACAGTCAACAAAACCAAAAGACAACCGACAGAATGGAAGAAGATATTTGCAAACGACTTATCAGATAAAGGGCTAATATCCAAAATCTATAAAGAACTTACCAACTCAACACTGACAGAACAAATGATCCAATCAAGAAATGGGCAGAAGACATGAACCGACATTTTTGCAAAGAAGACATCCAAAATGCCAACAGACACATGAAAAAGTGCTCAACATCGCTCGGCATCAGGGAAATCCAAATCAAAACCTCAATGAGATACCACCTCACTCCAGTCAGAATGGCTAAAATTAGCAAGTCAGGAAACGACAGATGTTGGCGGGGATGCGGAGAAAGGGGAACCCTCCTACACTGTTGGTGGGAATGCAAGCTGGTGCAGCCACTCTGGAAAACAGTATGGAGGTTCCTCAAAAAGTTGAAAATAGAGCTACCATAAGACCCAGCAACTGCACTACTGGGTATTTATCCCAAAGATACAAATGTGGGGATCCGAAGGGGTACATGCACCCCACTGTTTATAGCAGCCATGTCCACAATAGCCAAACTATGGAAAGAACCAAGATGTCCATCAACAGATAAATGGATAAAGAAGAGGTGGTATGTCAACGTCTAGTGCGTTGGGGTCCCTGGGTAAGGGTCTACGAAATCACCAGGACACAGGGGATGCAGAGCAAAGGCAGCACTTGCAACTGCATACTGCCGTTTATTTCTCACATAGCTATATACTCGCAGAGATCAGATAAACATAACAATGTATCAAGCCAACATCTGTGAAGTGAAATATACACGAAATGCAATAAGAACAAAATACATCCTGTTTATGCTTGCAGAATAAAGAATTCTCTTAGCCATCCTTCCTTTGGAGACAACATGTTCTTTGTCTTTAGAAAGAACACTTCTGTTTAGAAAGATACACTTTAAGCTAGGCAAGAGCCACTTCCTGCTGATCCAGGCATTTAGGCCTTGCAACATGAGGTAAGGGGAAGAGAACATTTTCTCCTCCTGGCCTAGGCCTGCCTGGCCGACCTTAACCTCAGTGCAGTCCTCAAATGACCCTGGCCTGCAAGGGGTCTACAAGCCTACACCATCTCAATTCCCTCTTTTTTCTTTTGTTTTAATAAAAGTGCCTTCCAAAGGATGGCCATAGATTTCTGGGAAGGCTTTAGATAGCAAAAATGCAACAGCATAAAGCATAAGATAACAACCAACAATACAAGTCCCATTCCTCCAGCGGTGTGCCCCAAACTCTGAATCGGCAGAAGATGATACAGTAAGCAAGGCACACATAGCCAAAAATAAATTTTCAGGCGTACAAGCCTTCCCCGTTCGCTGCAGGATTTTTTGCCCCTCCCCACTAAGCTTTTTAATTTGCCCCCAAGTCGGCAAAGCAGTAGCAAATATCTGCCGATGGCGACGTCGTCCTCCCAAATTCAGATGTGCCATGGCCTGTAACGGAAGTTCATCTTGGCCTGGATTCCCCATCCGTCGCCTGGTGGGATACGGTGCCGTCCGAATTGGCCCTCGACCGGATCCATCGCGCGGGGAGCCAGGAACAGGTCCGTCCATCCTCTGTGGAGACATAAGCATAACCCTTCCCTCTATAAAGCAATAGCCCCGGTTGCCATTCTGCATCTGCGGTTGGTCTAAACCATATATGTTCATTTAATGGAGGGGGAGCGACCTCTCCCTCTATGAACTGTTTCTCTGCACGGGAGAGGATATCTCCCTGCGGAAGATTCAAGAAATTTAATGTGAACAGAGCTTGTTGCAAAATGGAACGTGCATTTGATTGAGTGAATGCTAAAATATGGTCCTTTTTCCTCCTTTTTAATTTTTTAATTTGCAACTTTAAAGTATTATGTGCACGTTCTACAATAGCTTGCCCTTGAGGATTATACTCAATGCCTGTTTTATGCATGATACCATATTGTTCACAGAAAGTTTGAAATTTTTTACTGCTATATGCAGGTCCATTATCTGTTTTAATAATAGATGGTAAACCCATCACAGCAAAAGTTTCTAAGAGATGGGTGATAACATGTTGTGCAGTTTCACCACTTTGTGCTGTGGCCCAAATGAATTAGGAATATGTATCTATTACCACATGTACATACATACAAAGTTCAGAAAACCACATCTGCCATTGCAGATATTCAGGCTCCTTTAAAAGAGCCCAACAGAGGACCCTCCAGTCCTCAGGAGAAAAATTGTTATAATGTCGAGCCAGACCATTAACTAGCTCCTTAACATAATGTGATTGAGGTCCATATAAAGACACTGCCTTTTTCAAGCGACCAATATCTTCTATACCTATTCCTTCATAATATGGTGCTTGTGCCATTCCCTGGACCGGGGGAGGCCTAATAACAGGAAAAGCAAAGACAGAATTAGCTGCGCCAGCCTCATCATCGCTATCCTCTAGCGCATCAAGCTCAGCTAAAGCAGCAGAAAGGAAAGGATTTTTAGAAGAAAGAGCTGGTACAGACGGCAAAGGCGGAGCAGAGGGCTTCCTAGAGGGTTTCTTAGACTCTTTCGTCATAGCCATAACCTGCTGGAAAACCTTCCACACACGCTCCACCTCGAGATCCGACTTTACTTTCGGTTTTGGTTCTTCATTACCACACTCGCTAGGCTCACGGGATGGAGTAAGCTTAAAGGTATCTTTCTCTACCGCCCTTTTCTCATCCGTATCTAAAGGGAGGTCTTGTATAGAAGGAGCCATCTCCTTATGGAAGTCTTCGACCGTGTGGTCGTCCTCCATTGCTTTAAGCACTGTAAAAATAATCGACCAAATGGACCAAAACCGCACGGGAATTTTTTCTCCCTGTCTCATTGCCTTCTCGACATTATGTCGAACTCGCCGCCAATTATCCATGTCTAAAGTTCCCTCCTCTGGAAACCAAGGATTCCATTCTCAAACCACCTTCAAGCACAGCTCAATATCATTAGAAGCGACAGTAATACCATAGACAGCAAGAGAATGCTTCAGCATTCGAACATAAGGAGTAGAAGTTTCTTGTCCCATCACCCTGTACTTAATTAAGTTACTCACCCTTCCTGTACGTCCTTCAGGGTCCCTGTTCGGGCGCCAATTGTCAACGTCTAGTGCGTTGGGGTCCCTGGGTAAGGGTCTGCGAAATCACCAGGACACAGGGTATGCAGAGCAAAGGCAGCACTTGCAACTGCATACTGCCGTTTATTTCTCACATAGCTATATACTTGCAGAGATCAGATAAACATAACAATGTATCAAGCCAACATCTGTGAAGTGAAATATACACGAAATGCAATAAGAACAAAATACATCCTGTTTATGCTTGCAGAATAAAGAATTCTCTTAGCCATCCTTCCTTTGGAGACAACATGTTCTTTGTCTTTAGAAAGAACACTTCTGTTTAGAAAGATACACTTTAAGCTAGGCAAGAGCCACTTCCTGCTGATCCAGGCATTTAGGCCTTGCGACATGAGGTAAGGGGAAGAGAACATTTTCTCCTCCTGGCCTAGGCCTGCCTGGCCGACCTTAACCTCAGTGCAGTCCTCAAATGACCCTGGCCTGCAAGGGGTCTACAAGCCTACACCATCTCAGTGGTATATATATATACAATGGAATACTATGCAGCCATCAAAAGGAATGAAATCTTGCCATTTGCAATGACGTGGATGGAACATATTACACTGAGCGAGATAAGTCAACCAGAGAAAGACATGTATCATATGACCTCACTGATATGAGGAATTCTTAATCTCAGGAAACAAACTGAGGGTTGCTGGGGTGGTGGGGGATGGGAGGGATGGGGTGGCTGGGTGATAGACATTGGGGAAGGTATGTGCTATGGTGAGTGCTGTGAATTGTGTAAGACTGTTGAATCATAGACCTGTACCTCTGAAACAAATAATACATTATATGCTAAAAAAAAAAAAAAAAAGAAGAAGATAGTAGGAAGGGAAAAATGAAGGGGGGGGAAATTGGAGGGGGAGATGAACCAAGAGAGACTATGGACTCTGAGAAACAAACTGAGGGCTCTAGAGGGGAAGTGGGTATGGGAATGGATTAGCCTAGTGATGGGTATTAAAGAGGGCACGTGTTGGGGTGCCTGGGTGGCTCAGATGGTTAAGCATCTGCCTTCAGTTCAGGTCATGATCTCAGGGTCCTGGGATTGAGTCCCGCATCGGGCTCCTTGCTCAGCGGGGAGTCTGCTTCTCCCCCTCCCTCTGCTTCTACCCCCATGCTCTCTCTCTCTCTGTATCTCTGTTTCTCAAATGAATAAATAAAAAAATCTATACAAAAATAAAAAAATAAAGAGGGCACGTATTGAATGGAGCACTGGGTGCTATACACAAACAATGAATCATGGAACACTACATCAAAAACTAGTGATGTAATATATGGTGATTAACATAACATAATTAAATAAAATATAAAATAAATAAAAATAAAACAAAAAACAACAACAAAAAAAGATACTCTCTCCCTCTCCCCCTACCCCCCACTCTCTTACTCTCAAATAAACAAATCTTAAAAAAAAAAAAAAAAAAAGCTAGGTAGACACAGTTATGATTCTCATTTTAAAGATGGAGAAATATCATTCTGGAGAATCTGAGTAAATTTTACAAAATCTCACCTCTAGTAAGTGGAAGAGTGGAAATTTAATCTCAGGTAATCTGATTTCAGAGTCCATGCTTAACTATTCAGTTATATTGCACCTAGGGCCAGATAGGAAAGTTAGCTGAGTAAAGTTGAGAGCTATGGGGACTGTGGTGAACTTGAGTGGACCTTCAAAATTAGTATTGGTATTTTCTATTTAAACGTCCTGTGTGGCAAAAATCCTCTAATCGTAAACCAAATACCCTGGCTGTCCATGATATGAAGTCTGCCTTGGACCAGCATTATATAAACTTGATCATAAACATCACACATATGTCTTAGCCCAGAAATATTAACAATATCAATCATTAATTCTCTTAGTCCTGAAGGAACCACCTGTGTTTTGGTGACAGTGTGTCAACCAAATAAAAGTTTGCCCGTGATCTAACATACCTCAATACAGAAAAGTTCATGTAAGAGACACACTTTTGAGTATTAGAAAAATTAATTTCACAACCCCTAAGGAATTGTTATGTTCCATAATTTTAATAGTGAGAACCATATAAATAACACGCTTTCCTCTCACTTCTAGCTACTGGAAATCTCAGTTAGTTCTGGCTATCAGAAAGCTCAGAGTTAGATTCAGTATTAAATAATCACAAGTTTAACCCAGTTTTATGGCAATATATTAAGTTGCCTCCCTTTCTTTGATCCCGTTAATAAATGAATATTTCTTTAAGTGTATATATTTTTATAAATCAACTCTAAAATAAATTTTGGTTGAAATAAATATATTTTTTGTTTGTTTTATTTATCGTGTTCGAGGCAACTCCAGGATATTTCTTCTCTTAGTAGATGTCTGGATTTGGATTCATACCAAAATATCTTCCAGAATAATTTGAGAGTAGGTTACTGAATACCAAGAGCCTTATTTTACCTGCATGGCTTCCTGTCCCTTGAGGAACTACATATTCTGCCTCTCCCATACCACTTAGCCCAATGCTATGAACAGAGTAGGCATTTGAATGAATGAATTAATAAATGAGTGAATGAAGTCAACATCTTCATTGTCAAAGGGCTTGGAAACACCAGTTAAGTCTCTAACTCTTCTTTCTTTGGGGTCTAGGTGGCAATTCTATGAGTTCAAAGGATTCAGTTTTATCTCAAGTTTCTATCAGAAGAGTCCTAGGAGTTCACATGAATAATGGGCCTAGCAATCGATTACCAATTTATTGCCTCTTCACCCCAGATCTATCATTCACTACCTGTTCTGTTATCATGGAGGTGGACTGTAAATTTTCCTGCCACTCCAGCTGGTGCAGAGTTAAGTTTTGTCCGTTGAGGGCACCGGAAGAACTCTGTAAGAGGAAAGAGTTTCTCTTCCTGGTTCCAATGTACTTTGTTCACCAGGCTGTTGCACAGTTGGGTTCTCTTCAGTACCCAAAGGCCAGCTGCATGAAGCACCTGCCCCTGGGAAACTTGTGATGATACCATTTCAGGTGCCTTCATAATTGAGTGGTACCAGCAGGGCAAATCTGATGGTGGGCTTCCCCTCCTATGTGCTCTGGTGGCCCTGGAGTGAACTCCTGGTTGTAGCACTTTCCTGTGGACACTTTCCCCAGCACTCCAGAGGGCAGATTTGCAGATTCCTGCTGACTTGGCACCTTACCTAGTGTTTCAGCACCTTACCTGGTGTTTCAGCACTAGGTGCTGAGCCATGCTGGTGTCCTCTGCTGAGGTCAGGATTTCAATCTGCAGTGTGGCATTGGAGCGGGGGGCTCTTCCTCCAGGGTTCTCTCCCAGTTCAAGCGCTAATGGGTGGCTGCTTCCTGTGTCTAATATTGTATTCTTTAGAGTTTTCTTTACCTCCTTTTAACCAACACCCTAAAACTTTAATCCTCTATTAATATTTTTATATTCAAATTTCTCAATTCAAGGTCTTGTGGGTTCCAGTCCCTTGCTTAGACCCTGCCTGATATAAGAATGTAGTTAATTCAGTTGAAATTTTACTTGATCCATTTTTTTCACTTCTAGCACCTCTAGAATTTCCCTCTGATTCAGTGGTATTCAAACTTTTTAAGTAATGGGATCCTGTTTAGAGACAAAAATCCCACGTGGAATACCAATAGGTATAACACATAAAAAACAGAAGTGCTTTGATTTAAATGGATATAGATTGCAAGATGTTCCAGGTGTGGCTTCTCCTCCTCCTTGCTCTCTGCTCGTGGTGGTCTTGAAACACCTTTGGAACACAGAAGAGTCTCAGGACACAGTGTCTTAGTCAGGGAGGGCTGCTGTTAACGAAATACCACTGTCTGAGTGAAATTCATTTCTCACAGTTCTGGAGGCTGGAAGAAGTCCAGGTCAGGGTGCCAGCATTGGCGAGTGAGGAGCTTTTCCAGGCTGTGGACTTCTAGCTGTAGCCTCACATGGTAGAAAGGGCCAGGAGCTGTGTGGGGTCCTTTTTACAAGGCACTAATTCCATTCATGAGGGCCCCACCCTCAAGAACTCATCATCTCCCAAAAGTCCCACTTGCTGATACCATTACATTGGTTGCTAGGATTTCAACATGCAAATTTTGGGGACTGCAAACATTCAGATCATAGCACACAACTTGAGAAACAACTCTGCATTTTATACTTTATGTATAATAAAATAAAGACCCTTCCTCTAAATTTTATAAAACATAATGGCATATTGATTATAAGCAGTTCCTCTTTTATTCAAGAAATAAAATAATGTCCTTTTAGACTGATCCAATTATCTAATCCTGGAGCAATAAGATAGAGTAGCAAGAACTTAAGGATCTATTAAGCCAGAGAGTTGGCTCAAAATGAGAGGAAATAATAGGATGGGATGGAATGTTTGAAGGGATGGATTTCTAATTTCAGTAGTTGAATATTGAAAATTACATAAACATTGACAAACATAAACTTGTAATTCACTTCTCGCATGGAAGACAGAAACTTCCAGTTTCTCTGGAAAGTGCCTGTTCTTATGGGGGCAAAAAGGGAAACGCTGAGAGAGACAGCTTCTCCTTTCATAGAGGACCATTCAGTCAATAGTAGAGTCCTCAGTCTGAAAAGCCCTCACCTCAAATCTGCACATGAACTTAATATTATCCACCCTTTAATTCAGAGAATGACTGAATGTGAGCTTCATCGCAGAGGTCTCATCCTATAGCATTAGCATCTGAGGACAGCACCCTGCAGAGCCCATCAATATTCTGAAATAAAGTGGAACAAAACTATTTATCTTTACAATGACTTGCTTTCCTGACATCAGCATAAAATAAACCTGGTTTGCCAAAACAGTATGGAGAGGACTAGGATGTAGTGATCATACAATACAGATTTTGGTGTTCTGGAAGAATTTCATGGAAGGAGAAAAGTATAAAATAAATAATATCATAAAAAATAAGATAGCATTCTCCTGAGCTTTCCGTGTAATTGATACATTCTGGAAACAAGATATAACCAGGTTTCATGTTTGCAATCCTCCACAAAAACAAAAAACAAACAGAAAACACTTCTCCGCAGCTCCTATTATAAAGAGAATTATTATAAAAAGGTCCATGTATTGTCATTCTTAGGCTCTTAGACTATGCATTGATCATTTGAGAGGGGTATCAAATTGGAAAGAGAATGACACAATATTCTGAGTACAAGTAAAACTAAAGCCAGTGAGTTTTGATTATTGAACACAGAAGCTCAAATTGCCAGATGAGTTATGAGTTGAGAATGTGATAATACAGAATTGACAGCTCAAACTTCTACAAAGGTCAGGAGGTCATGTGACTGTAGAAAGTTAAGTGAGGACTGATTTAGTGGTAAACCAAAGAGCATGTACCCCACCACATACCCCATGTCAGTGTTTGCACATAGAATTTACTCTGGCTGAGCCTCCATTCAGAGATTACAATGGAGTTGGTCACAAGTGGGACCCAGGCATGTGTGTTTTAAAATCAAAGCGTTTCTAATGTATTCAAGTTTGAGAATCCCTGTTATCTTCCATTCTTGCCCTCAGCTCCCACAGAGATTGTTGCTAAAAGCGATTACAGGCCATATGATGATATATTCCATTATTTCGGGAAACCTAGCTTTTTGTGTAACAGCTCTTGACTTTCAAATGTAATCTAATGTGGCAAATGTGTTTTTGAAACATTGTTTATGCAAACAAAGGAAATATGAAGACAAATCCCATCCCTAGGTCACCAGGTTGTAACTTTGTTTTTTTGTTTTGTTTTGTTTTTTTCTTGTTTTTTTTAAAGATTTTTTTTATGTTATGTTAATCACCATACACCATACATTACATCATTAGTTTTTGATGTAGTGTTCCATGATTCATTGTTTGCGTGTAACACCCAGTGCTCCATGCAGTACATGCCCTCTTTAATACCCATCACCAGGCTAACCCATCCCTCCACCCTCTCCCCTCTAGAACTCTCATTATTTATTCGTTTGAGAGAGAGAATGAGATAGAGAGAGCATGAGAGAGGGGAGGGTCAGAGGGAGAAGCAGACTCCCCGCTGAGCAGGGAGCCTGATGCGAGACTCGATCTCGGGACTCCAGGATCATGACCTGAGCCGAAGGCAGTTGCCTAACCAACTGAGCCACCCAGGCACCCAGGTTGTAACTTTTGAATCGGAGACTTTTTTCCCCAAGGAAATATAAAATATTCAACAGGGAATGTGGGTTTTGAAGAGAAATGCAATAGAAAAAAACATGAGTTTGGGAATCGGACAACCTATGTTTAGCTGTGTCATACCGAGTAGCTTTCTCTTTTGATTCCTGATCTATAAAATGCGTATCATAAAATATGTTCTACTTATAAAACACAGAAGTTTCGTAAGGATCAACTATGCATGGGAAAACAATTTATATTTTTCTGAAACTTTGACAAATTTTTTTAGGTTTTGGGTTACATGCCACACTTTGACCTCAAATTTTCTTCCTTTTTGGAAAAGAGGAAGATGGAAGAAATAAAACAAAACTCACAAAAGGAAAAAAAAAAGAAAAGAAAAGAAAAAAATGCAGATGTAAGAATCTTCTCACTGTCCTGGAAACCCTATCATCATCTGGACCATCTTACCCCTCTCGTATTATTTACCACTTCTCAATGTAAACCTACACTGCAGCTGGACCTCTCACTTTTCTGTTAATTAAGAAAGACATAGCCATAGTTTTCTAAAAGTTATTCCAAAAGGGGCTGTGGTATTTGCCTAGGTCTGGATTAGAAGAGCAATTATTCCAGAGAAGGTGAGACATTGTGATCCATGGCCAAGCATCTGCTTCCCTCAGGAAAAAAATAGAAATGGGGTAGCAAAGGAAAACTGAAACAGTAAATGAAGGCCCCACTGGAGCAGTATCTTAACCCTAGCCTGTCCCTCCAAGATGCAAATCAGTGCCTGAATTTGGGGACACTAAGATATTGGTGAAAACAGCTTCTGGGAAAGGAAAAGACATTCATCTGCTACAGCATTAGCCCAGAGTCAAGGTATGAAGAAGCTCAGTGTGATGGAAATAGCAAGAAGGACAAAAACGCTGGTTATTTTCTCATGAAGGACCCATATGTCTGTATCTTCTTTGCCATCAGTGTATGTTTGGTAGAATGATGCCAGCTGACACAAACTCCCTTATGTGGACAACACCTCCCGCTCTCACAATGATTCAGAATTCTTATGCCCCATTCTTGCATCTCCAATCACAAAAACAGAAGCTTAGATCCTGGATTACCCCGAGGTCAACGCTATCAAGTAAGGAGTGCACAGTACCTGTACTAAAGAGGTAGCATCTACTTCCAGTGTACTTTTTTTTTTTTTAAGATTTTATTTATTTGACAGAGAGAGATACAGCGAGAGAGGGAACACAAGCAGGGGGAGTGGGAGAGGGAGAAGCAGGCTTCCCGCGGAGCGGGGAGCCCGATGCGGGGCTCGAACCCAGGACCCTGGGATCATGACCTGAGCCGAAGGCAGATGCTTAACAACTGAGCCACCCAGGCGCCCCCTTCCAGTGTACTTTTTAATGAGAAAATAAACACGTTAAAAATAAAAATTAGGGGTACCTGGGTGGCTCATTCAGTCTTGATTTTGGCTCAGGTCATGATCTCAGCATCCTGAGATCAAGCCCCTTGTCGGGCTTGTGCTCAGGGTGGAGTCTGCTTGGAATTTTCTCCCTCTCCTACTGCCCCTCCCCCTGCTTGCACACACATGAGCTCTCTCTCTCCCCCCTAAAATTAATTAATCAAATAGCTAATTAATTTTTTTAAATAAATAAATAAAAATTAAATTAGTTTTGTCTGTTTTCAAATATATCAATCAAGCAATCTAGTGGCAGTGAATTAGCAAATAGCCCTCCACACATCAAATGTCTTAATGCTAAGTTAAAAAAAAGTAAAATAATTAATGTTCATAAAAATAAATTTGAGGCTAAAAGAAAAAATAAATTATTTTACATTATATGAGGTTTGAAATGCAGTGCAATAGATCTTACCTTTACAAAATTGGACGTGAGACTTTTTTTTTTACTTTTTTTAAAGATTTTATTTATTTATTTGACAGAGAGAGAGATAGCGAGAGAAGGAACACAAGCAGGGGGAGGGGGAGAGGGAGAAGCAGGCCTCCCGCGGAGCAGGGAGCCCGATGTGGGGCTCAATCCCAGGACTCTGGGATCATGACCTGAGCCAAAGGCAGACGCTTAACAACTGAGCCACGTGGGCGCCCCAACATTTATTTATATATGTTGATTCTTAAATGTAAAAGTTAAGTTAGAAAAATTTCGTATGTACAAATAATTCTACATTAATAAGTAAAAATATAATTTTCGTTATAGACACAAAATTACAAATGTTCTATCAAAATGGAGATGTTATATTTGTTATACTGCAAAGTGGTTGACTTTTGTCAGTGAGGATTAAACTTTCATCATACGCTATTGCTTTGAAAGAATCCACAACACCCACAAATACAAATGTAATAATACAATATTTGCTCTTCTTAGCAGCTGGCTAAATTTATTTATAGAGAGCAACCCAACTTGTACAAATAACTAAACTGAATTGAATTGTTGTGAGTGGAGGTAAGCTCTGGCCTGGGACCCAGGTTTCACACGGAAGAAGGAAGCCACATTGCCTAATAAAACAGGTAGAATGGGGAGAAATAGACCAAAGAATAAGTCTTTGCAACATATTAGGGAAAGTGTATAAAGAATTTTCTTTTAAGAATGAAGCAAAGTTTTTGAAAAAAGAACTAATTATAAAATAATGTGAATAATATGATACTCCTATATAAAAATTTTATCCCTACTTCATATATATTCTTACTCCATACACTATTTGTTTGCACAGTTGACCCTTGGACAATAGCGGGGTAAAGGGTACTGACCCACCGCACAGTCAAAAATCCAGTTTACTTTTGACTCACCCCAAACTCAACTACTACTAGCCAGCTGTTGACCAGAAGCCTTACTGATAAACAGTCGATTAACACATACTTTGTATATGTATTATATACTGTGTTCTCACAATTAAGCAAGCTAGAGAAAAGAAAATGTTATTAAGAAAATCATAAGAGAGGGGCACCTGGGTGGCTCAGTCGTTGAACGTCTGCCTTCGGCACAGGTCATGATCCCAGGGTCCTGGGATCGAGCCCCAAGTCGGGCTCCCTGCTCTGCGGGAAGCCTGCTTCTCCCTCTCCCACTCCCCCTGCTTGTGTTCCCTCTCTCATTGTCTCTCTCTGTCAAATAAATAAAACTTTAAAAAAACAAAAAAACGGGGCGCCTGGGTGGCTCAGTCGTTAAGCGCCTGCCTTCCGCTCAGGTCATGATCCCAGGGTCCTGGGATCGAGCCCCTCATTGGGTTCCTTGCTCGGCAGGGAAGCCTGCTTCTCCCTCTCCTACTCCGCCTGCTTGTGTTCCCTCTTTCGCTGTGTCTCTCTCTGTCAAATGAATGGATAAAATCTTTAAAAAAAAAAAAAGAAAAGAAAATCATAAGAGAAAGAAAACACATTTACAGTATTGTACTGTATTATTTATCAAAAAAATTCCACATATAAGTGAACCAATGCAGTTGCAACATGTTTTTCAAAAATCAACTATGCTTTCTATTGACTCATACATACTGACAATTTCAAACCTTTAGCTTTAATTATATCTCTTCCCTAAAATCTGGAATTTTGTATACCAACGCCTACTAGACAACTTTACCTAGACATTCAGAGGAACTTTAATATCAATGTGCCCCAAAATGTACTAGTTCTATTATTCAACTAAATATGTTCCTTCTGTATTTCTGATCTTAGCTGCAGCAAGAAGAAACTGCTAGCACCAACAGAAAACACTTTTGACTCCGTGAATACACTGCAATCTAAATATTTACGATGTTCTTATTCCACCCCTATCCCAGACTGACTTCCTCATTTCCAATGCTTTTGAGCATAAATAGCTCCCTACTCAAGATCTGACTAGGGTGAATCTAACTGGGTATAGCCCACATGCTCCTCAGCATCCTCAGTTCCGGGAGAAGCTGGGAAAGTGAAAAGCTTCTTTAGCTTCTACAGTGGAGAAGGTTTTGCCTGCCATGGGGACTCATGTGGCAAAGAACAGCTTCAGCAAAGGAAAGTGCTGTACATCCGAAAATAATGACAAAGAAATATCCACTGCCCCATATCCTTCTGGTTACCCAAGTCAAATGCCTGGAAGTTATCTTACATGTATCTGTCTCCTAGCATGAATATTTGATGGGATGTGTCTTACTGGGAACAAAGTGGAGTACAGGGCCTTAGTATGACATTAAAGAGATAAACAGAAAGACAAATTTAAAAATAAAGGCACGTAGGGATGACTGATGAGATAAGTCCAGGTGCTAAGGCTATGGACAACTGACAAAGAGCTCTTACATGACATTCTGTAAGGGTCTGGTAAGAGGATGGCACAGAAAAGTACAAAAACAGACACACACATACACATACACACCCACAATCCCGGATTTTTGCTATGGTTCATAAGTCCCTTGAAGTTCAAGAACTTACTTTGTAATGTATATTTCAGTGTAGTACCTTTTGCCTTTAAAAAAAATGACAGCACCTAGTACAGTATTAAGAGGTGTGGACTCAAAAAAAAATTTGGTCTTGACTAGAGTTTCTATATTCAGCACTAATGAATTTAATTCCTGTGTAGAATTAAGAAATTAATCTCATAAATTAGAAATATTAAAATAAATGGCATTTTTTTTTTCCATGAACAAAAAGAAATCTCAAATAGCAGTGACTAGGCATGGTGAGTAAAAGCATGGTTTTTTTTTGAAAATATGAAAAGTAGGGGCGCCTGGGTGGCTCAGTTGGTTAAGCGACTGCCTTCAGCTCGGGTCGTGATCCCAGGGTCCTGGGATCGAGTCCCGCATCGGGGTCCCTGCTCTGCGGGGAGCCTGCTTCTCCCTCTCCCACTCCCCCTGCTTGTGTTCCCTCTCTCGCTGTGTCTTTCTCTGTCAAATAAATAAATAAAATCTTAAAAAAAAAGAAAAGAAAATATGAAAAGTAATGTAATTGAAGTGGCAAAAAGTACCTCCTCTAATATTTTATAATATACTTCTCATCTTCAGCAACTAGTACATTTATGGTTAACTGTAAGAGGAAGAGGGCAATGAACAAGAATTTGAGGAACTCTGGTCTTTCCTTTCCTTTGACTTGTAATAAAATACTTTATCCTGAAAGATTTAGCCTGTTGGTGCTTTAAAACAATATTTATTTCATAAAAGAAAGGAGGCTACTTATATAAAAATATAACTAGTAATAAATGTATAGATGAAGAGTTCCAAACAAGTTCTATCAACAGTCTGAGAAGGGATAACTATTTTGAAGGCAGATTAGAATGTGAATAAATAGAAGGGAGAATGAAATTCCCAAAAGGATGGAAAAGATTTAAGGGTTATGCTTTAGCCTTGCGTGGTACTTCCAGTTTGGCCAGTTCCTTATGTCTCCCCATTTCTCACCCATGCATTTGCTTTGTTTGTTTTGTTTTGTTTTGTTTTGTTTTTTTAATTAAGTGACTATGTTTTTGTTTTTGTTTTTTTTCCTCATGGACACAGACCCATGGTTAGGTTTGAAATTTTTCGGGCTCTGCTAGTTATGATCTCAACCCCTTCCATTCCCTAGTAGGCTAAAAACATGGGTCATGTCTTATTGTTGCTTCAGGCCTAGCTCCTACAGAGGACAGGGAATATGTGGAGTTAACCTGGGGAGCTAACATAGTTTCCCAGGGTTAGTCATCTTGCTTTGGTTGAGTCAGTGCTCTGAAACGTTCCTAGTAGTATTGAATACCTACAAGGATATCAATGAACTAGATGTAACGTAAACAGAGCTGGAAGGACTATAGAGAAAATTTCTGAGTATGGGGTCCCCCAAGGCAAGGAAAGAACTTGAAAGAAAAAGTTCTTTTAGAGAATTTCCCTCTATTTTCTGTGATCATTATCGAAAGTCTGAGTTGAATGAATGAGCTTAGAGACTATTTAGCGAACAATTTCAAAGTAAAAATAAATAAATAAATAAGGGAGAATTTCAAAATGCATATAACCAGATGGATGTTGTGGGATAATTCAGTGATACAATTAGGCTTGTGATCTGCCAATTATTAAGTATTTCTGGTTATCATTTAACAAAAGATGATTTTCTGGCTCTTCGTAAAGAAATACAACTTGGGAGATGGCAGCAAGCAACAGATTAATGGAAGACACAGGTGCCCATGTGAGAAACTACAGGCAAGAGGGGGAAAAGAAAAATCATATTAGTTTGATTTCAATTGTTTTTAATGAGAGTCATATTATTTTGGCTCCTGGGGAAATATTGTCAGTAACTTAGCTGAGCTAAGTGGCTCAGGGAAAGTGGCTAAGAAATAAAGCCAGAAACCAACAGGGAGAGGAACAAATGCTTGTTTTGTAATTAGTGAAAAGAAATTTGTTTTTAGAAAGTGTAGATGAGTCCAACTATGCTGACTTAGACTCTGTAAGAAGGATCTAGAACATTTATTTATTCATCCAATAGACACTGGTTTCAGCACTTTTTGGGGGGGCGGTCAATCACTGTGTGGTAATACAAAGATGAATAAATAGATTCCCTTCCATCTTGGAGCTTATAGTCCCTTAGAAAAGATAGATATTAACAAATAAATATAATTTAATATAACAAGTTCTATAATACAGTTATCTAGAACCCAAAATGGCAGCATAAGATTCATGGGGAAGTTTACTAACTCTGCCAAAAGATTTAAGAGTAGGTTGTTTTTTGATTGTAAATTTGGTTTCAACAGAGGCAAATCTTAAGCAGAGTAGCCAAGTGGAGGAAGGCACATCAGGTAAAAGTAAGAGCCTGAGTGAAGGCAACAGAGTGAAAGAATGTGTTTGGAAAATGATGCAAAGTCCAGTACAGAAAAGAAGGAAAAAAGATGACCCAGATAACGTAATTTGACATTTGAATTGCTAAGGGTCATTCTAAAGCGCTTAATTTTCATTTTGGAGATGATAGAGAAGAATTGACAAAAATTAAGTGGTAAGACTGATGAATAGATTTGTGATCTAGAAAAAAAAGATTTTGACAGTAATGTGAATGTTGGATTGAAAGAGAAGGAAGAGATTGGCCTGGAGGAGAAGTAATTAGTTAGAGGTTGTCATAAATGTCTGGTTGAGAGATAATAAGGGACTAAAATATTGAGTAAAATTGGAGTGGGAAAGAAATATACAAAATAGAGAGATTTTTATGTATAATTGTGACCAATATTATTTGTGGGTAAAAAAAATTAAACAATTTGAATATTAGTCCTCAGTCTCTGGTTTGAATGTCTTATGAAAGTTGAGAACAGGCTTTCAAATCCCAAGCAAATTTATCTACAAAGTTGGACAAAGATGTTGGAGAGAAAATGAATTGGCAAACAGAGAATCAGAAGCCTTTACTAATCAGCTGAATACCTTGAATAATTTACTCATTTATGCTTGATTCATTTTCCTCATTTACAAAACACAGTGGTTGAAACACAGCCTTTCATCTGTAAAATCATGACTACTGGTTGTGTATCAATTTTGTATTGCTATACAACTTTATCCTTGCAAAGTTAGGCTACCATATCTGCAATATGTCTTTTTGAAAACATAGCAGAATCATCAAGAAGCAAACATAATAGAGGAGTGAAGGAAAAAGGAAAGTGAAAATACACAGGAGAAATAAGAAAAGTTTATGTGGAACTCATTTTGAAAAAAAAAGATCAACCCGACTTATATATCGATGCTATTGCCCATAAGGGAAAAGAAGAAGAGGCAGAAAGCAGCAGTCTTAGGTAAAGTTCTTAATTTAAAAAGCAAAACAAAACAAATAAGATCTAAGAGATTGATCCCAAAAATAAATAAATTTAAAAAAACAATGGCAAAATTTGACCGGAAGTCCTCAAGAAGGACCACAACATGTTGTGGCTTGTGACCACTGGCCCTTGATTCACTCCTTGCAGATATATATATTGCTCTGCAATTCCTCTCACTAGTTGTGAAGTATACTTCCCCACTCCCTGACTTTGAGGTCAACCAGAGACTTGAAATATGCTGAGCTGATGGGCTTAGTCTCTTGCACCTCTGACATCTTTGTGAGAAGAGCTTCTGGAGTAGCTGCTGCCTCTTCAGCCTGGACCCTAGAATAGCAAAGACACAAGGACACAGACTCAACATCTTGAGGCAGAGCCTCAACCAGACAACCCAAACGACTCAGCCAATGCAGCACAGACTAGTGAGTGAGCCAGGGTTTGGGATAAGGTTTGTAAAATAGCAGTAATATGGCAATAGCTAACTGGTACACAAGCAAAATTTTTGGTTTTGAATAGCATTTAGAGTTTGGGGATAATTTTTGCTTCAGATAAAGACTTGAATAATATAATCTAGCCAGAGATCTCCCCAATCTCTCTTTCTCTCTCTGTCTCTATGTTTC